AAAAAAAAAAAAAAAAAAAGGGAGCCCTACAACACTACTTGTTCTAAGTTAATATTCTTCCTTTCCACAAATACTGAGTGAGGGCCATGTGCTGCCTTAGTTTGGGTTCTTCCACAAGACTGCACTGCAAGTAGATTATCTCAATGGAGAGGATGCAGGGAAGGGGAGAGGGCCAACCCAGGGACACTATTAAACCAGCTTCCATACTGGGCAACAGGGCCTCAATCCCACAGGGAAACACTGTCAGGATTATCCCCGCAGAGGGGGAGGGAGCTGGGGTGTTATACTCCCCAGAGGCATTGGCTAATGGGTCCTAGGGGTGTTGGTTTCCTGGCATTTCCAGCCTGCCACACCCGGACCAGAGAGCAACCTCAGCTCGGGTTGGGGGTGGGGGAGGAAACCGCCCTCAGGCCCAAAGCAGCAGCCTGAAAGTTCCAAGAGATAGAGGTGGCCTCTGGGGTAGCATCGGACAACTGTGTCCAGCACAGTGCAGGCCCCGAGCGGGACAGAGTGGACATTTAGGATGAGGTTCCTGCCTTCCAAGGAGGTAAAGACATACAGTGTACGCAGAAGTTGAAAGCCAACACAAAACATCACAGAATGCCTATTTGAAAGTCAGGAGAAGGTGGTCCTCTTGGTCTCCGCTAGCCCCCAGCTGACAGAGCAGCCCCCTACCCCTTCCTTAAAAGGACAGTGACAGGTTTCACATCGGCCACCGGACCCTGGCAAGATATACTGAGAGGTTTTCAGAAGAGCCCTCTCGTCCCCTGGAGAGGAGGTTAGCAGCCGGGCCTGGCAGGGGCCCTCCCTGTGCCGAGGCTAGGCCTGTCCCCTGCTGCCAGGTTGGGGCGCACCCATGGAATCAAGCAAAGAGCACTGAGGGCTCAGGCACAGCTCCATGGGGAGGAGGAGATGGGAAACATACTAATACTTAGACCTCACCCAATGATCTGGGTTCAAGGTAAAGATAACAGAGGATGGGGCAGTTCAGTTGGCATTTCCTGTGCCCTCTGGCTCTACCATGGTGGCTGGGGGTGTGGTGCACGTATGAGTCTGAGGGCACACCTGCCTCGGAGTACCTTGGTCTCCTGCTATCGTCTTCCATGGGGGGTGGGGATGGGGGTGGCCTGTGGCCACCTTTCTGCCATGAGATATTCTGGGATAATGGTGAAAATGATGCACTTTGACCTCAGAGCTGCATTTTTCTCTTTCCCACCACGTGCTAGCTGTGTGACCTCAGACAAATTGCTTAACCTCTCTGAGCCTTAGTTACCACATCTGGAAACAGGGATGCAAATACCTATCTCAGTGTTGTGAGAATCAAATGCAGTAATTACATAAAGCATTTAGCATAGTGCCTGGCCCCTAGGAAGCACTCAATCTATAGTAGGAGCTTTGAGCAATGATGTTTTAGGTGGGGTGGCTACACAGCCACCTCATCAAAGGGTGAGCTTCACAAATAAACGTGGCTTCAGTGACTGGCTGATAGAATTCAAACAAACCGCAAAACAAATTACAGGGGTCTGGAGCAAGAGGAATGTAGGAGGAATGAACCAAGGGTCTCAAAGTCCAGTGTTCTGGGGAGGGGGCTTTGAGCCAAACAAGAACGTGCCTACTTGTAGCCTGGAACTAAAGGGGAGTCTGTGCTCAAGATATGAACAGAGGAAGCAGGTGGGGATTAACTCTTCCACAAGCCCAGAAGTGGCTCCAACTCAAACCACGATGGGTTAGAAGTTTTAAGTATCTTTCTCATATCCAGACTGTTTCAGTGAGGACTCTTTACCCAATGAAAACTGGCTTACTGACAAAACAGAGTGACTGATTTATAAGGCCAACAGTCCAGGGTTGGATATGGCTTCAGGCATGGCTGGATCCAGGAGGTCATACTGTGGCATCAAAATTTGTCTCTTTCTCCACATCTTGCCTCTGCCTCCCTGATAAGCTTCCTGTTCAGGCAGGTTCTCATAACAGGATTGCAAAAATGGCCACTGACATCCTTATAGTTCATCGAAGAAAAGAGAGTCACTCCTCTATCCATATCAACCCCAGAGACGATCTCTGGCCTGGCACAGGTCATATGCCCATCAGTGGACTAATCACAGTGGTCAAGGAAATGGACTATTTGCTGCAGAGACCTAGTGTATGGTGGGGACGTGGCGGAGGGAGCCAACCCCACTGGACACATGTACTGAACGGATTGTCATAGAATCTATATAAAACCTACATAGAATACCGAGTGACTCCCTAAAGAGATGCCAGGTAGATTTGTCCATTACCCTCCAAGTGAAGAACGATTCTTTTTTTTTTTTTTTTGCGGTATGTGGGCCTCTCACTGTTGTGGCCTCTCCCGTTGCGGAGCACAGGCTCCGGACGCGCAGGCTCAGCGGCCATGGCTCACGGGCCCAGCCGCTCCGCGGCATGTGGGATCCTCCCGGACCGGGGCACGAACCCGCGTCCCCTGCATCGGCAGGCGGACTCTCAACCACTGTGCCACCAGGGAAGCCAGAACGATTCATTTTTAAAAGAACTTGAGGAAGGGTCATGGGGGTGGATTGCATAGCATGAGTTAATCTCAAGGACCCAGATTGACTGCACACTCATCTCCAGAACTACTGACCCTTGCCCAACACTAGGGAATCTATTAACTAAAGATGAACAATACTGTGTAACCATGGGTCCCTGAGCGGTTTTGGAGCAGAATGTTATCAGCTGGTCAGCACAGTTTAGTAATAATTGGGTTTATGATTTGCACCTGGTTTTGGTGGCGCCTAGGGGGTGGATTTCAACCTTTAAGGCTAGAAGCTAGCCTTAAGGTCAGGTAGCTAGAATGTGCCTACATGACCAGCTCCTCTAAGACACTCCCACCCTAAGTAGCCCCTGGGTCTCCACACTAGTAGTGGTTGGAGACTCGGGAGCAAAGCGCTACTGTTTGAGCCTTGTGAATATCCACTGTGGACACTGCAGGAAAATCCCAGGGATGTTATGACTTCGGTGTGGATTGGCGTGGTAGATATGGCAAAAGTGATGGAATGTCTCTTCCGAGATGAGGTTAACAAAAAGAGAATGTGTTTGCAGGAAGGAGGGAAGCATGAACAGGTGGAGCACAGGTGGAGGAAAGGATGAACAGGGCTGTGAAACTATTCTATACGAAACTGCAGTGGTGGATACATGTCATTATACATTTGTCCAAACCCATAGAAAGTATAACACCAAGACAGACTCCTAAACTATGGACTTTAGTTAATAATAATGTATCAATGTGGGCTCATCAATTATAACAAAGGTACCAACTCATGCAAGACGTTAACAATTGGGGAAACTGGCGGGGGTCGGGGGGAGGTTCACGTGGCAAGGAATCCATGGCCCCCGCCGACAGCCCACAGCCCCACGCGTGAGCTTGGAAGCAGGTTCTATCCCCGTTAAGTCTTGAGGTGACCACGCCCTGAGTGACACGGTGGATTACAGCCCGTGAGACCGGAAACCAGAGGCATCCAGCTGAGCGACACCCAGATCCCTGAACCACAGAAACTGCGAGATAATAAAGTTGTTTGAAGCCACTAAATCTGGGGGCGATTTTGTTACGAATACAGTTGGCTTCCTCCCTCACCGTCAGCTGTGCTTCTCAGCAAGCTGCGTCCCCCTCGACCTGAGGGTGGAAAACCCGAAACCCAACCTTCTCCTAAAAGCCATGTATTATTGGGCACCACAGACTCCCACCACTGGTGCTCCGAGGAGGCTTAAGTTTATACCCAGAAGCAATGCTGTGCCCTGCAGGGTTGAGGGGGGCTGCTGGATGAGTTAAGTGTTAGGTAAGACTGAACGGTTTCCACCTGTCATGCTCACACCTGCAGCTGTCGACAGCTATTTATAGTTTCATGGTCTGTGTTTTGCCTCCTGCCCCGCACCTTGTAATTATAGTATCTTAGGTCACTTAGGTTCTTCTATCTCATTTGTTCCTCAGT